CGTGTGTGCTGTGATGCATTTTATTTGGCATCTGAAAATACATTTCCTCTAAGGTATTTTTAATCTGCAAAGAGCTTCACTGAGTGAGTAGTGGAGCTCAGCAGACAGTTTAACTTTCACTTTCAGTTTCACCAGTTATTTGCTCTGTTACTGCTGAGAGCCTGCAGGAGTCATGGGCGGGGTGTGTGGGGTGGGGGGTGGGGAGGTGTGCTCCGTGATGAGGAAGCTTGGCTTAAAGACACGTCCCAGAGGCGTTTCTGGTACCAAAAGGCATCTCTGGTCCCCACCTGTCGTTTTGCTCCTCAGCATGGCTTCCTAAAAATGCTGCAGGATTTCTCAAACAGGCATGAATGAGTCAAAGCAAGGCTTTGGGCATGTTTTTTATGAGTATAACATGATATAAAACTCAAAAAATTGATTTTACATGATATTGCCCCTTTAAGAATTTGATAAAATATACCATTTAAAAAGTAATTTGAAAAGCAAAACTTACAACCGGCAATCAAAATCTTAAAGCAATACGTAAAGTCTTTGTCTTGTTTTTGTGAGACAAAATATATTTTATCAGCTTCCTAGGCTAGCTAGCTAGCCTGCTTTCCAATCTGATGCTATTACCTTTATGCACAGTTACAGAATGGTAAATTAAAACTGATCAATAAACTAACAAATAAACGATGTTAATTATTTTTAACCTTACCCTTTGCGATTTTTGTTTGTACATCTAAGAGTTTTTCTCAATATTTTAGGCACAAATCTAATTCCATAGAAACCTTCATAATATTTCTGCTGAAATAACCATGCAACGCTCAGATTAGGTGTGAACTTGTCAGTRGCTATGTTTACATGAGCAAAATTYTTTGATCAAATTGAAATGWATTAGGATTAAAAAATTGRTTGTTTATTTCCAACTACTTTTGTAAACATACACCTCTGACCACTGTGGGGTGAACAGGCCTGTTTTAACCATATATTAGTAGCTTTGTGACACTGTGTGAAAATGTTGCARCACCTTCTGTCATTCTGACAGCCATTCTTCATCCAGGTGACTAATCTCACCACCTGTCCATCACTGGTACTGGTTGTGGGGTATGATGCTTGTCATGAGCACATGTCATCACCAGGCTATAATATCATTATATTCTACCTGCTGGTCAGAATGTAAAGGCCATTCATTGTCCAAAACAGTATAAAAAGAATAATAATTTCAGAAGTTCAAGTGAACTTTTTAAAATCGTATTTATCTTTGATGTTGGACACAACTCTAATAGAAAATAAAAAATATGGTGAAAATATTTAGGTTGTCTAATTAAAATAGTTAACATTATAAATCATTGAAACAGAATACCTGAAGTCTACCTCATACCTGCTAACATCTGCTGGCAGCAATAAGGAACACCTGTTCATGTTAACCAGCAGCTGTGAAGTGAAGCAGTTCTAGGGGGGTCCAGGGGTATGTTCCTATCCGAACATGTTCTATCTACCAAAGTGGGGTCTGGCAGAAATAGTTTGGGAACCAGTGATTTAGAAAGGGGATGCAACAACACAAGCATAAATAAAGGATAACTCTGCATCTGTCTTTTCTTTTCCTTTCTTCTATCTCCAGAGACTGACAGCTTTTCAGAGCAGACCACCGAGATCCCCCTCTCCCAACAGCCGGCTGCAGGAAGTCCAACCGATCAGAACTCCAACCTTTTTTTCCCTCATGGAGCAGTCGCCAACATTTGTGGTCGCTCAGCTCTTGGTCTCCACCCTCCTGGGTTGGTCACCCAGCCTCTCAGCTCCCAAATGGTCAACCAGCAGCTGGTCATGGCCCAGTTTCTCAACCAGCAGTATGCTGTTAACCGCATGCTGGCTGGCCCAGGTCTCTCCTCTCCGCAACAGCAGTATCTCAACCACCCTCCTGTAGGGAGGGCTCCCACCATCGTCTTTTCCAAGCCTCCCGAATCTCAGGCCTTGCAGCAGGCGCAGTGCGGCCCGGGTGGAGGTGCTGCGACCGCGCCACAAAATCAGGCAGCAGTTGCGACTTCGGTGGGACCAACGGACGTATCGAGTGACATCTACCAAAACGTGAGAGAGGAGCTGAAGAGGGCAGGCATCTCCCAGGCCATCTTCGCCCGCGTGGCCTTTAATAGAACACAGGTACGTCTCGTAAGGACGCACGGAATGAAAAACTGTTTTCTGGTGCTCTGGTGTTGTCTTGGTTTGCTCATTGGCATGGCACACTCTGCAGTGCCCCCCCTCCCCTCGTGCATGTGTGAAAATGTGTTTGTGCCAGCTCTCTGCAGTGCAAAGCTGGTGCCAGCAGTAAAGCAGCTGCTAGGCCGACTAATCAGAACCCCTTCGAGAAATGTTGCCTCGCTCCCTAACTCTTGCCTGATCCCATTGTCCTTCTATCTCACCACCTTTCACTCTGGCAGCCTTTCCGTTCTCCTAATCTCTACCTCCCAAGGGCCAATCCATCTTTTTTATCTTTTACTTTCCCTGTCTTCCTTTGTTTGGATCCGAATCTTGCTTTGCCATCGTCTGTAAAACAAAAATGATACATTATTGGAGCCCATCATCTTCTGTTCCGCATCACTCTGACATAAATAGCACATAAATGGCAAGCAAAGCCATCAATTATTATTACTGTTATTAATATTAATACAACAGACATGATTTCTTGCTAGCAGTAAGGCACCTTGGTACCAGCCRTACACACTGGGCACTGCGCCAAAACATTATCTGGAAGTTAATGACACATTTGACAATTCAAACAAAGGCCCCTTTTGTTTTTGTTTTTGTTTTTTGGGKTTTTTTATGCAGTTGATCCAGTGGTGATTTATGATTTGAATAAGATGTTACACTCATGCCATTTATCTGCTAGTGTGAAATCGTCTTGGGGAGGAAGCATCACAGTTAGCACGAGGGGTTTGGTGGGTTTTCTGTCAGAATAACGCCAGCTGAACAAATATATACAGGGTTTTGCTGTGCACTGATGAACTTGCTGTAGGGTTTTGTTCTCCTAGAATGTAATCCCAAGCTGCATATGGACAAGCTTTTATAAATTTCTTTCATGCATAGGAACCTGACACCTGCTGTCTTTGCATAAAGACAATGAAAGATGTGTGATGTTTTGCACAAGATCCATTCATGTATGTATGACGCCTCTGAGAGTTTCTAATGGTTGAAATTATCTGAACATAACTATAATCAACATCTAAATGTCAAAAGAAAACACCATCAAATGGTGGAAGGAACATAATTGGTTTGCAACTGTTTTCTATACTTTGGATGTCTTAAAGTGGAATTCTGTGATAAGGTTAGGAAAAAATAATATCTTACCTGTCTTAGATAGCTCTTCACTGATCTCATATGGGAGATCATGATATGCCATGATATATGCCATGAGGAAGTTCGGCTTGGAGACACATCCCAGAGGCGTTTCTGGTCCCCACCTGTCGTTTTGCTCCTCAGCATGGCTGCCTAAAAACTCTGCAGGATTTCTCAAACATGCATGAATGAGTCAAAGCACGGCTTTGCTCCTTTAAGTTACAGTATTTGGAYGGAATTGCCAAATAAGGTCTGGACTTACTAACTACAATTTGGTCATCTTCATTCTCCTCTCACTCTGGGTCAGACTCTGGCTCCAACATGTGAGGCTGAATGGACAAGTCTGTTGTTGACATCTTTTAATTTATTTGCAATTAATTGTCAAAACCCCCTCTGTCAAACTAAAATTAACTGGTCTAGAAGCTGGAGGGCGTGGGGCTTGAAGCCCTTTGTTTGGATTTGAAGAGGCAGCCTCAAAATGAGCTGCTTTGAGACACACCTCAGAAACGGGGTGAAAGAGGGGCTTGTGGAGTTACAGTAAGGAGGAATTCAGACCAAAGTATTGCAGTTCCACTTTATAAAGACCCCAAGTGAATGATTTAAATCAGAAAAAGAAGGATTTAAAAGCATGACTTCAATGTCAAAAATCTCAGAGGTTCAGGGGAAAGCTGTTTTTTAAACCTTTACACGGCCATCAGTTTCACATGATCCAAACATTTAGGACAGATATTGTAACTTGTTGCTAAAATTGATAGCTACTATAGCTGCTGACAATAATTGTGATGGAAAATATAGAATACATATAAATAACTGGATAATGCAAAAGTTTATAGTCTTCAGCAAAAGTCTGGAGACACAACAAATCGAGTTTAGTTAGTGAAAACTGTGGTCAATAATGACTGAAAATTATTATTATTATTATTATTATTATTATTATTATTATTATTATTATTATTATTATTATTATCATTATAAGGACACAGCATCTACAACATGAATTTAATAGATCGTCATATCCATAAGCAACTTATATAGGATTTTGATTCATGCTAAAACTTAAAAATAATAACAGTGRTGCTGATTGTAGTTTTTATTTAATGCTTTGTTACATGTTTATATCAGTCTCAGTCTTAATGACACCATCTATCTTATTTTGTGAAGAACCTTTGAAAATAACTACACATTCATTTATTTCAAATGATTGTACATACTGTATTCATGGAAMCTTGCATACCTCTTCAGGCTAATGAGCACTCACTTGTGTGTGTTTATTAGGGCCTTCTGTCCGAGATCCTACGGAAGGAGGAGGATCCAAAGCACGCCTCCCAGTCCCTGCTGGTCAACCTGAGGGCCATGAACGGTTTCCTGCAGCTCCCCGAGGCCGAGAGGGATCGCATCTACCAAGACGAGAAAGAGAGGAGTCTGACGGGATTCACGCCCAGCTGCAACAACACACCCCCTAGATCCACACAGGTCAGCTGGGACTGAAAGAAGTAAACTTGAGCCAGTCAGACAAACTTGTCCTGAGATTCTTAACTTTACTCACAATCATAGTGCAATATCTCTATCAGTTCTGTTTTTTTGATGTCAGAAACCACTGCAAGTATTAAATACACCTTACAAAATCAGTTGTAAATAAGCATGAGACAAACAATATTTAATGTGATTACATGATTAAAATTGATAAATTGCTGGGTTTAAGCATCCAAATCCAGCATATCAGCACCTTAACTATCAAGCTTGTTAATGGAAAGTTGGTTTTGTTTTGGTATCACATAGAGACATTTTGGCCCCTGGCTGTGTTATACTGGTTAGCAAGAAACATTGTAGCATTGTTAGCATTTAGCATAAGCCTTTAGACTAGGGGTGGGCAATCCTGGTCCTCGACGGCCRCAGCCCTGCATGTTTTACGTGTTTCTCTGCTCCTGCACACCTGATTTGAATAAATGGGTGATTATCAGGCTTCTGCAGAACTTGGATGGGGGTAACTCAATAACCGAATCAGAGGGATCAGGAAAAARGTAAAACACACAGGGCTGCGGCCCTTGAAGACCAGGAGTGCGCACCCCTGCTTTAAACAAACAGCATAACTGAAAACTTATATTGTATAATCAGTTTATGGATCGTCTCTAAAGTAGACGATTGTTTTATTACTAATATGTTTTATGTTGTTGAGGACAAGAGAGCGCAGGGAGTGGTTGTGAAAATATTAGTTTATTGTTTTTATATAAAAATCACCAAAGCAAGTCCGCATTAATAATTAAAACTGTATAACTCAGTTCTTTTTGTTTCCTTTTCCACTTAAAAGTTTGTAACTGATCACTTTATTATTTTGTTATTTTGATAAAGACAGGTTGAACGCGAATTTGGGAAATGTGGAGAATAGCGAGGGATTGGGGAGCTTAGCTTGGGCATAAAGAAAAAGGGGCAAATAAGATGGGGATATATTTTAAGTACTCTTGAAAAAAATGCAACAAGATTTTTTTTATTACGTGGTAAATGGACTGTMCTTATAGTATCAGTCTAGCCTACCAGTCTACTAAAAGCACCTCCTAATTGATGCACTCATTTACACATGCACACAYATTTATACAACAYTCTACTACATCTCTACAAAACTAATCTGAATAAATCATTCTATAGTGTCTGATCAGTGCTTTTAGAACACATTTACACACGTGGCACAAATCAGAGTTGATCAGGGTCTTGCCCAGGGACACTACATGTGACTGATGGAATCAAACCTCCAACTCTMTGGTCTGATCTAACAACTGAACCACAGCTGCYCCTTATTTAAGGATCACAGAGGCCTTTTCATTGTGCTGCAGTTAGGCCTCTTCTTGAATTTAAAGCAACMCTTCTGTGGATGAAAAGAGTCAAGWGATCCTGGCTCCACATTTCATAATAGTGTGTTTGCACAAATACAATGAGTGCATTAGTTTGTGTGGAACACATTTCAGTGAAATCCTCCCTTCCTGTGTGTCTCTTTGCAGGCAAGACTGTCTCCAGTCACAGGTGACAGTGGGTTGAGGACCGACAGCTGTGTTCTCAACGTCAAYGCCTCCATCTATGAAGAGATTCAGCATGAGATGAAGCGAGCCAAGGTGTCTCAGGCTCTGTTCGCCAAAGTTGCTGTCTCCAAGAGTCAGGTACTTGAGCAGCACATCCCACGATCGCGTCAAATCCACACCCTTATTCACCCACTGGTTTCTGTTGGTTCATTAAATGTTTAAATTTGGCATTTTTGATAGCGCTACATTTGCAGCTGAATGGGGGGAAATGTGTGTGTGCRGAGAGAAGCCCAGATAATCAACCAGCAGCTGTACTCTGCAGAGGACTATCATCAGTGCATCTGACTGCTATTGTGTCCTAAATTATTGCTTTAATAGTTGCCATACATACACACTCACAAGCACACACACACTTCTTATTTATGCACACGGACATACTGTACAAATGCACACAACTACACACATGCACAAACGCACACAGGCACTCAAATCCACTAATACAACAATACACACACATGATTTGAGTGTTTATTGTTCTCATTTTTATGGCGGCCCCATAAGCTTGTTATTGCCTTTTGTTTTGAGGATAATTTCCCTTCACAAAACGGGGGGAGAGTTTAGCTGTCTCTCTTTCCCCTATTCTCGAACAGAGCTTCAATTTTTACACACTTTTCTTTCCCTTTCACTTTTTTTCCCCCTCTTTCTCCCCTCCTCTCCACATCTCCCTTTCTGTGCTACCCAGTCATTTGGCAGGCAGAGCCACGCTGAATCTCTCGGTCTTATCTGCACTGTGCATCTGGTTGGCATTTTGTTCTAAAACTGGGCTTCATCCAGGTGTGTGCTCGCGCGCACGTGTGTGTGTGTGTGTGTGTGTGTTAGTGCGCCTCTAATCACGCTGCAGTTCGTGATTATAGCCTCAAACTGCCACTCACAAGTTTCCTCTCCCGTGATGCTGAAACAATTAAAGCTGATAAGAAATTCTCCAAAGATTAGTCGACACCTTCAAAAATGTTTTTTATTGCACATGTAAAAATAGAGGAAGCCATTTTAGGTAGTTTGTGAGAAAAATGTAACTTTAGATTTTTATTTTCATTAATTAACACCCTTTAGCACATCCAGTCCCTAACTAAAAGCCCAACATTTATTGAAAGAATGTATATCGTCCAACATCTTTATGCCAGTGTTTAAGACTAAGAAATGACAGTTATAGATRTTTTGGCTAAACCAAGAAAATGTCATTATGAGCAAGCTTATGCAACATTATATCTCACATAATCTATTAGAGCAGAGGAGCCCAAAGTGGGGCCCGTGGGCCAAATTTGGCCCGCCAAGCCATTTGATTTGGCCCACCAACAGTTGCCAAAGTTACACGGTTGTAACCTGTTATCCTATAGAAACACAGTATTTCCATTGGTCAAATGACTAAATAAAAGGGCTGTAGTGAAGGTAGTTTTCATTCATGGTGCTGGTATATCTTTGATTTATTAGGATTAAACATGAAACATGAAATGACAACAAGAAATATTTAGATAAGATTTAACCCCGCATGTAGATTTGCACACTTTATAAGGCCACAAAAACTCATATTTTATCAATGTATAAAATGTCCCATGAGCCTTTGCTACTTGAGTGTATGGCAGACTTTCTCCAAGTGCACAAACTAAAACAAAAGAGGGCCATTGCAAAGCTTAATCATTAAAAATAAAGGACTACTTTAAAAAGTATTTGTATTTCATGCATTATCTTACTGCATTTGGCCCGCAGCCATGGATAGATTTTCATTTTGGCCCTTTCAGGGAAAATGTTTGGGCACCCCTGTATTAGAGCTTAGAGTATGTGTTATAAGTCAAGCCCAGCTGCTATCACAACAAATACTAGCTCAATATACAGTATGTAAAAACACACAATTTTAATGGAGATTAAAGTCAATAACTGTGGCAGCCATCATGAATCTGGTTGACTCCAAAGTTTATTTGATTATGTCAGTCATGTGATTACTTTCTAAACGTTTTAGTAAAATCAGATCAGTGGTTTAGACACGGTAATCGGTCTCAGTGTGTGCACGTTAATCTATTAGCAAAAGATCCACAGTTTGAATTTGAATGAAATTTCTAAAAAAGTAATCAGTGGGTCTTTGAAAAATTCACTTTTGCTATTAACTCGATCAAAGGTGGCCGCCATGGCAAATGAAATACAAAACTGTCTCAAAAAGTTTTTTTTTTAATATGACAACACATTTTTTTTTTCACTATATCCCAGTAGAACCAAAAAGCAAAGCAAACTTTTTTTTAATTTGTGATGCTGTTTAAACTTATGCAGTGTTGTTCGGCTAATTTGACTTTTTCAGCAATCCTCTGTAGATTTATATGCCAGGCAGTGTCAATAAAAATATGTAAATTTTGAGAATATGAAGATATAAATTTGTGTCGCTGCTGTAACATTGCATCAGCCACTGAACTGTGGATTTAGCTTTTGAAGCCTTGAGTTCRGGGTTTCAGCCATCGATGTGTCAGTCTTATAAAGCTCAATGYTAAAAGTGAGCAGTGGGTCGGAGTAAGAAGAAACAGTGGAAAATATGAACTCCCATGRGGAAGCTGTTTGACTTTCACAACATGTTTTCCCACAAAGCATTTCCTGCTTTAAATGCTTTATTGTAATGGGAACACATTTTTAAAAATACACAAATTCAATGGTAGCAGAGGATTGAGGACAGTGGCGGATCTAGAAAATTTTCCATGGGGGGCAAGGGGGGCAACCCCTGTAGATCCGCCCCTGGTCGAGGAACACTTTGTCTCAGTATTTAAAATTAGCATTCATTTCATGTCATCCTATAAAGGAACATTTATTATTTTAATGTATATAAATCAGGCACTAAATTTACCTTAAACCTACTTACATTTACAGTTTTTTAAAGAGTTTTCACCATTAAAGAATATATCATCAGAAATCTGTCTTGTCTTTATTACCCAAATAAAATCATAACTTAATTGTTCAAAAAAAACTTTGTAAAACTTTTAATGCATGAAGTGGCAAGAACTTTCTATTTAAGAAATATAGCAAAGGGCCATAACTCTGGTAAGAAATGGTACAGTGCAAAATGTCCCACCAGGTTTTGTCAAATTCTTTTTCAAGGTGTAAGAGGAGTTGAGCTGACAAAAAAACTACTAATAGGTGGACAGATGTTTCGAGCCATAACATAATGCAACTCTGGTGTAGAAAGTGCACTTTTAATTTGATATCAATAATATGTCCAAAGTTGTGTGACTGTATCATTCAGCAAAACAGTTTGGCAAGTGAGACTGTATATAACCAGATCACAGTGATAGAGCAATTTATCATTCACATGGGTACTGAATATTCTTAGAAATAGATTCCTGAATGTTAGGATGGTGAGACACGGCCCATCCACTTTGACTCTGAGAAGTGGAGAACAACAGGGTCGTGTTCTCAGTCCTCTTTACTCTCTTTATAAACGGCTGCACTTGTACTAACATTTTTGTCAGAATTAGCTGCTGACATTAGCTGCACTATTAAGCAGTGCCATCATTGCCAGTCCTGGCTCCACGTMCGGTTGCACTTGCCACGTCAGCAGTGCCAGCTTGACACCAGACCTGGCCCACACATGTCTGCAATGTGGCATATTTCTTTGCAGTTTCACACAGTAAGTTTGGCTTGTAATAAGTTAAACCTCTTGTTACTGTACCTCCTGAAGGGGTGGCTTTGTGAGCTTCTACGTTGGAAAGAGGATCCCTGCCCGGAGAACCGGACCCTGTGGGAGAACCTGTGCATGATCCGCCGATTCCTCAGCCTGACGCAGACCGAACGAGAYGCCATCTATGAGCAGGAGAGCTGCAACATGTCTTCACAGCAGTACTGCGCTGACAGGCTCACACTGCTCAGCAATGACAACACACTGGTAAAGCCACAACAAAAACAAYTCCATTACACTTACAAATAATTATTCTAAAAACACAATCACCAGGAAAGTAAACTAAATTAAAATATTCTTAACTGGGTAATTTTAAGAAAAGACATACCATCTTCAGGGTATGTAACAGAAAATAGCACAACAGTAAATGTCAAAAATGAAAAAAGATGATTATCACAATAAAGATGATTCATGAAGCTGATTAGATTTTTTTTCACTGCTCTTCTACAGATTTATGTTGTTTTTATAACCCAGACTCATAAACAAAAGGTTATGCAGGACTATGAGTGCACTGTTCATAAAGAAAATACTATTCTAGTATCAGGCAAGGAAAATTCATCTCTGTTCTGCAGCTACAATAAAGACAGCCTCATACATAAACACATTGCAGACTGAGATAAAACAGTCAACTATACAATTTATTTCTTACCAGATCAAATCAGAATGATAATTGCATTTGCTAAATATTGCATTTTCAACTAGATCCAGTAAATCCTGCACACAATTTGACTTCTTTTAGGCAGTACAGCTGCCAGTGAAAAACATTGACTGAATATTTTTAATTGGTTATTTAGATTTAGGTCTAACACTTCTTTGTGTTTGACCTAATTATTAATTATTATGAAATTATTAATTAATTGATTACTTTAAAAATCATTAATGGTTATAAACCAAGTCAATATTCCTTATTTTAAGACAATCACTTCAATCATATGCTAACTTGATTTTGAAACAGCTAAAGTTCAAATAAAATGTGTCTTCTTATTGTTACTGATAATGATTTTATTGATTTCTTTCAACAGTACCAACACAACTCCCCAGTGATTCAGCAACACCATCTTCAACCCCATCAACCACTTCAGACAGAACCAGGGATTCACTTGTCTCCAAGGCAACCATGTGCAGCCTCACCAGCCGAGTCGGAGGGCGGGGGTGCATGGGGGCACCTGAGAGTACACACGGAGGGCAGAGGCAGCTGCGACGTCGCGGGAGAGAACGGCATGGAATGGGTGGAGGGGGGGGAGGAGAACAGGGACTGGGGCGTCGCTGAGCGAGCACGGGGTACCGGTAGGGAAAACACAGAGCAGATAAGAAATGGAAACATGGCCGAGGAGGACAAAGACGAGGACACGCAGGGCAGTAAAAGTGGAAAAGTTCAAGACAAGCTGTATGTGAAGAGGGAAGACAATGGGGTGCCAGAGGTCTGCACCGAGGACAGAAARGCAGGAGGTGGAGATGAGGTCCACAGCGAGGGGCTAAACGTGTCCGGCGACGCCCTGGGAATCTTGCAGAGCTTCATCCAGGAAGTGGGCCTCAACCCGGACGAGGAGGCGATCCACACCCTCTCTGCCCAGCTGGGCCTGCCTAAATACATCATCCGCAGCTTCTTCAACAGCCAAGACCAAGGGCAAAGTGASGACTATAGCCAGAGCCCGATGCACCATTACGATCACCATCAAGGCTTTGCAGACCTTCCGATACCAGACGTGACTACACAGGAACTGGAAATGCATCAAAAGCCAGAAGAACAGAAAGATGAGGAGAAACAAACAGGTAGAAGTGAAACAAGTGAGGGTTATGTTTTAAAAGAACTGGATGTCGCCACTCAGACTATCCCTCTTGTGAAGGAGGAACAAGAAAGTTAACCTAAACCTGATGTTTCACCTTGTGAAGTGTTACAATCCCTGTGATGATTTGTTTACTGATATTCTTCARCACTGATCCAAATGGAGATCAGTCACATTTACAAAGTGCTCCTAGACAGGCTGGCAGTATTTTTGTTTCAGGTAATACACATGTGCCGTTATCAACAGTGGGGGGAAATAGAAAAGTTTTGCTGGTTACGAGACAAGGAAGGACCAAAATCACATTGATGCACGAACAGCAGAAACTGTGCAGAGAACCACGCATGCATATATTTACTCCTAAAGTCTATTAAAAATCACAGACTAACCTGACATTCACTCTGATGAACTGTAAGAGGAAACTGAAGTCTCCGTAGAAATCTCACACAGGTGGTCCTCGGAGACATGGGAAGACCCTCTTGCTGTGAGATGAYAGAGTTACCTCACCACTTTAAGTGTTGATAAAGATTAATGTTGCTGACAGTACAATTCAAACATAAGGAAGCAGTTTGGCTTGTTTGAAAGAGAAACTTTCATTTTAAAAAAACAGAGCAATGGCAGCATGAATAAAGCACTGGACTTCAAACATCGACGTCTTTTAGACGAACAAGACCAAAGTGGAGATGTGTGGCAGAAACTAAACCACTAACTAAACTAAAGCATGGTGGAGGTGGAGTGGTGATTAATTAGTCTCCCTTTGTATAACAGTATTCAAATKTGTTCGGCACTTTTCAGTTGAAATGTAAACCGTCACACATTGATCAATTGAGTATTGAATCCAGTATCGATATCGGCATCGGTCCRGAGTATTGGGGCATTTTGAACGACTACAACTTGTAAATGCTGCTATGAGGACACAACAACTCACAACTGTTACTAAACGGAAGCAACATAATAAAGAAAGTGGGTCWCAAATCTTCTGTAATGACAAGAGAGACTAATAAGGTCATACAAATGATAATTACTTCCGGTTATTGCTGCTAACGTCGTTAACGTTTCATTGAATCAGTTTATTCTCAATGCACAACTCCCAAATTTTACTAAGTTCATAGGTAAGCAGTTAAGYGACATTTTATGTGTTTTTTCATTCATTTGGGGTTGAAGCTACTTATTTTAAAACTTGATGTTTTCATGATGTCCTGATATGKTAAAAAAGGCTTAACATTAACAAGGGTATGCTTTTATTATATTAGTTTAGGACTTTCTGTAAATTGAGCATCCTTGTTGCACTTGAGGCATGGATAACTGTGACGGAGCGTACAGAGAAAGGTTCACGTGTGTCTCAAAACAACATCAAATCAATAAGTATCAGATCTTTTTTTAGAAGAATAAACTTTAATACCAGAAAGGTTTGCCTTTAATTAATTTGTACTATTTCCGTATGTTTTTATTCTAAGAGCTTCTTAATGTTGCTGTTGTAGGTTGACTTGGACTTTGTCAATTTTTTTTGCTCATGTTTGTCTGTTTTATGTTCATCTTCACACAATAACATCAGTCTGATTGTTGTCATATGAAGCTGAAACAGTTTTTAATCCATGAGGGGGTTGAACATAATAAACACGTACAGGTTTTACTATGGGGATTAATGGGAAATAAATAAATGAACCTATTTCTCATGCTGGTTCACAATATTAACTTTTATTGTGCTACTTAAGGTGAAAAAATGCTACAGAAGAGCTCACCGTTTTGATACAGTATTAGTATTTATGAGTATTGTAGCAAATGTAAAATCAACTGGATTTTACACATTTTTATTCAAATGTTGGTCAAAGTAATGAATCATTTCTTCATAAAAAAGGGTTGAGATCATATAAAACTAAACATTAGGTCAGTTAATTTTCTGCAGAAGACTTTTATAACYTTTATTTGCCTTAATTTAGATCACTTTATGTCCTTTTTGTTGGATTACCCATTGAAAACAGAAAAAAGGGACGAATTACATGCTCCACTATAAATTGGAGTGTTTAATATTATGCAAATGTTTTATTACTTTATCATACAGACAAAATGTAGTGATTGCATTCATTAACAGATTGTTTAAGACAAACTTATTTAGGACTCAATATTGGAACAATTATTCTCAAAATGGAGCAAAGAATGAAAACAATAAAACGTAGGGTTTATTTTAGGTGAAAGAGTTGTAAAAATATTAATTAGCAGATTAAGATGTGTTTTTTTACAATTTTCRGTGCTTTTTTTTCTTGCCCTGATTGAGTGGATCGGCGATGTTTATTTTCAGCCATCAGACAATAAATATCCTGTCATGTTGCTCACTGGTGTGTCAGTGGATCTGTGGTTTTCTTCTATCACATGTCCTTTGGCGCTCACAGTATTTTCTGCCTACTATCCCTCAATGCCTTAACTCTGTTGGTACAAAATGTTATTTCTCTCCATGCCCCTGTTTGCCTGTTTGTGCCCCTGACTCTCACGTGTCTCCCCACTGAGACTCCTCACATCACAGCTCCTTTAGTATACAGAGAAATTGCAACGTTCAAGCCCCATTTGGTCAGAATAGCTTCACAGAGTAGTTCAACGAAGCTCCGCACTTTACTGCCATCTGTTTCCATGACAATACTTTGGTCGGGGCCAAGGAGAGGCCATGAAAGCCTCATCATCAGTAATATTAGCTGCAATAATGATGATAATGGTGCTCTTGAAAAGCCCTGCCGGTGATAATGATGGTAATAGCAATGATGGTCATTATTTCTGCTTTGTGGTAACTCCCAACMACGCAGGCAAACACTTCACTGCACTATTATCAATTCAAAAAATTTAAATCTCTTTTGGTATCTAATGAGTAAAATCTGTATCACAAGGATTTTTGCTTATGGCTGTTTTGTTTGGGTTCTTGTGTCGATTGGTGACATTTAGTGATGAAGGCATTTTTTTAAACACAGACAGATCAGCCTGACTTGTCTGACCTCAAAAATTGCTCTAATTACGTTGACATAAAAGTGTGGCTGAACAGCCCCTTCAGTGTTTTTAGTTATTTATGAAAAGGTTTTCTGTCCTTGGTGATGTGACACAACTGATTTTAATCAGTGCAGATTGGCATCAGAATTTCTGTCAGGCTTGCTCTGTCTGAGATGACAGTATTTTCTGCATTTGTTCCAGCACAAAAATGAGAGGAAAAAAAAGTTTCCTGACAGTGAGGAATTTTTACATCTTTTGCAATTTCATTATGGTAATTCCTAAACAGTTTGATAAATTCAAAGTGATTTCAGTATATTTTACAGCCGGTGGAGTCAGATTGAGATACAGTGCAATGGAACTGTTTGAAATCTCCAGGAAGTTGTTGTGGTAAACTTCATCATTTTGAAATTGGCTTCCTAAATCTGTTTGGTCGGCCAATGAGTTATCAGTAGGACTGTGTAAGCAAAAGTCCAATACTTAGATAAAAAAAAGTTACATTACAACAATCCATCAGTCATGTATTGTAGAATTTACAGATAGAAGTACCCTAGTTTTACTTTAGGTCATWAGACAACCTACTGGGAATTTGACCCCCCAAAACAACTAAAGGAAGCAAAATTCTGCTATTATTATGAATTTTGTTCTATGAGACTCAATCACATCATCCCAGCCTGCAAACAGAGATGGCRGCATCATTCTGTGATGTAAAGAATTTTTATACTGAGACTGAGAGAAAAGGCAGGATAGACAGAAAAATGAAAGCTGGAGAACCTCCATGAAAATCTCCAAATATCAAGCCAAGTTGAGCCTCACAAACCCACATATTCTTTTTTTTTTTTGAATGAGAGAGAAATCTAGAATAAAAAACTTTTATCCGCTGCATTTCCTTTTTAAAAGCTGTTGAGGTGTAACTTTTCTACAAAGCAGAAGGGAAGAAACTTCGTGCCCACTTCAATCAATCCCAAGAATATTTTGTCACAAGTAAAGCAATAAACGGTCAGTATATTTCATTTTATTAAAAGATTTTACATCAGTGTGTAACAACTTGTAGTTTTCACTTTCTATATGACCTTTTGCTTATAATGAAACTCAAAACAAATGGTTTGATCTCCTGATGTTGTTGTTGCTGAAAAGACTTACACCATACCATCAGCTACCCACTGATTAAAGGACATTTTTTTACTTAAGATTATTTTAGCACAACTTTATGGTTATTAAAAAAAAGTGGGAATAAAGCACTGGGCAAATATGACAAGTTTCCTCATTTTAGTTTGCTTCCAAGGAACCTGAACATTTTTATTTCTGTATTTTTTGGCCATTTAAATTCTTTCAAGCCTTATATAT